ACGCGAGCAGAGAGGAATAGTATGGGTTTGATACGACGATAGGGAGATTGGAAAAAGATTAGTCAAAGGGATTTCAGAATTATGAATGTTATTTGGCTGTTTAAGAGAATTTTAGACGTTAGAGAGGCTTTAGTGTTATATATGGAATGTCGAAATTCGATAATTGATATTGATCGTAATTTTGTAGCTTGTTGGAATGGTAGAACTCCATTATGACGAAATTGTCGAGTCTAGTTATCTGAATATAATATATTTCTATTATTAAACAATGAAAATCTATCGACGATCTTGGAGCTAATTTTGGAACTATCTTCGAGATGAATAATCTCCATGAGGAGATCTTTAAATCAAAATGAATCGGTTGATGTTTAATTCTTTTCCATTCGTGCGATTATATTTTGAAATTTGAATGCGGAAACTTTGTTGTATAATATGTTTCTAGTTCAAACAGTAAAGGAAGGGAACAAGTTTATTCTTTTTTTTTTTTTCCCAAAGTGTTTGCGCGTGTTTTTACTTTGACACTTTCACTTCGCTCGTTCTTGACAATTGAAAACTCTAATTAAGGCTTGGAGCATTTTTCAAATATGAACGCCAGATTTTTTAAAAATGTCTTAGACAAAGTTAGTTTGTAACCGCAAAGAACTTTTCATCAAAGTGACGTGGGCACGAGTTTTTTCTCTGCATTCACGGAGGACAGTAGTTCTACTTCCTTTGTCCTTTTGTACGAAGGGACGTTTGGATGAAACAGTGCAATACTCGAAGGTTCTACGTTTTAAAAATTGGCAAAAAAATCGTCGTCATTTCTCTCGAATCCAATATTAATTAAAAACCGTTCGATCGAACGTTATTATCCCAAGGTTTGTCAATTTTTGAAATGGATAAAACCACGTGATACGTCTTCGTGATCGCCACTTCGTGCACACAATGTAGAAAAAAAAAAAATCTATAAAAACCGGATTGAATGCATCGGTAACAATTTACAGTTATCCAACGCCGTTCTCTCTTACGCGGACCCATTTCATCGTGCCAATTTTACCGTTGCAACAAACAAGCGACAAAAATCGAAAAAAGGGGATCAAGCGCCGCGCATTAAATCGAAAACATGGTCCGCGTAAAAAGGTGGAACGTCGTAAACAGGCTGATCATTCGAGCGCGACATTTCCGCCGCGAAATAACATTTAATAATTCAACGTAAATAAAAACAAGCGAATTTCATTTTTCGTTCTCATTCTATACGCCATTATTCTTCGATCATCTACAAACAAATATTTCATTATTATTGATGATATATCCCATAATATTGTACAAACGTGTACAAAAATTTAATTCTTTCCCTTCTCCAATTCATTCCCTTAATCATACACTCCCCAAAGATTTTTGATATCCCTTCTATTTTATACAATAATCATTTGTCTTTTTTAAACAATGAACTCAATCACGTCCTCCATTTCCTTTGCTTTAAAGATTTTCGTGCCACTTTTATTCACAATGATCCACAATCTTTTCGCTGTATTGCGTGCAATATTGAATATTTACGATTAAAATATATAAAAATTCGACAAAACAATTTAATATATTCACTCTACCATTACCAGTCTACATAACAACAAACGTTCGATTTAAACATATCATATATTGTCAACTGTTTCCAAATAATTTCCACAAAGTATTTTAAAATATTCTTCATTCGTAACGATCAATGAATCCTTTCACGACGATATCACTCCAAAATATTAACCTTAATCCATTACTGCTCTGATTATAAATGTTCATACGTCGAGTTTCCGCGCGCTAAGAGGAGCCGAAGAGGGCGGTGATTCCCGGCGACGGGGCAGCCACGAAATCTCGTTACGCGACGAGGGAACAAAACGAACCAAATCCCCCAGTGAAAACCGTATTCATTAATAACGGGCTTGCGGGCTATCGTTGGATCGCGGCACGTAGATAGCCGAGGTTGGAACCGGTCGCTCGGTGGATAACTCGACACGCGAATCTCGCCAGATAAGCAGGGGAGGGAAGGAGGGGGGAGGGCATCGTGAAGTAAATCAGATCCGTTTTCTCTCCTCGCATTCTCTACGTAATATACGGAGGACGGACAATCAACCTTATAACACAACCGGGGCCCGGATCTAGTTGAACGAGTCCTCTCTGAAATCACTTCATCGTGAATCAAGTTAAATGATCGTGGATCCTGTTTAATTGCTTTATTGAATCCGTTCCGCGAGAAGAGCGGTGGAGGAGCATTGTTTCGATCTTCGAGAAAAATTGGAGAATTAGGTCAATTCGAATAGGTGATAGCAAATTGTGAGAGGAACATTTAAGGTTGTTATTTGAAGTAATTGTTATTTTTAGAAATATTTATATTCGAGAGTTAATTTGTGTGGAGAATTTTTTAGAATCTTTTTTTCTAGAGAGAATCGGAAAGTAAAAGGAGGAGAGATGAAAGGCGATCGATGGAAATCTGTTGGATTGAGCTTTTAATATCAGGTTAATATCGGGAAAAATTTCGTTGGAATCTTTTGTACTTGTTATAAAATTTCTTTGTACGCTATATAACACTTGGTTTGCGGAAAATTTTGCAAGATGGAAGGCAAAGTGGTCCGTGTTCTCGCGCCTGAACAGAACTTGTTCTCCGCTGGTTAATGAGCCTATTGTCCTGGAATGCGGGTTGCAAATAAAAATTCGCCTTCTCCTACAATCGAAACAATCATTCTGAGGCGAAATGTTATTCAGATATACGCAGGCTCGCAAACAACGCGTATCTCACGCATCGATTTAACTTTGTACGCGGTTATAAATCCGATAATCGGTAAACCGGTGTAAAATATTGTACGGTACTTTATCCGAGAAAAGTAAACTCGACGAGTGTATGTATATGCATAGTCGATCGTTTAATGATAATGCCCAGCGTAGATACGTTTCGTGAGAATTTAGAATTAACGGTTGGTGGGCGTGGTTCTTGACTTTTGCGCGTCGCGCTGATCAAGCCGAGGGATATAAGAATACACGAAGCTTAAACCTCTGCTTTAATCAATCTGCTTGATCAATTTAAAAATATATGTACAATTTACAAAAAATATTAATCCCTAAATCTTTTTTAAATCGCCTTACCTTTTTTCAAATTATCAAACATTATCAATAAGAAAAATTTACCAATTTCTTTTATCCTTCTTTTTATCTCAACTTTCGCGCGTGCACTTTTTTATTATTTCCAAATCGATCGATCGAGATTCGAGAGGCCATTCTGGATCGAACCGCGCGTTTTTCTTCCCATATTTGTTCAACTTAACGGGCCCTCCCTCCCCTCCTCCCTCCCCTTCGCTCACGTTGAAAATTGCAACTCCCCTCCCTCACCACCACGAGCCTACGCCGCCTTAGCCTACTGTTACGCCGCGCAAAAATCGTCGCAATTGCGCCAATAAATCTTCCGCGCTAATGCCAAGCCCCGAGAGGAACAGTTATCGCTCGATGCTCGCTCGAGACGCGATGCGCCTTTAACAATTTCCCGGCCATTATCCCCGCCGTTCATTAACGATTCGCTCGGACTCTCGATGATATAACGGGGGTTCCATCCGGGGTTGGCCTCGAATTATGGTAACGATATATCGACCCGTGACATATCGGTGAAGAGAGTTACCATACACCCCGTTGTAGAATCTTTATTATATTGACAGTATAAAGTTTTTTTTTTAAATTTATCAATCCTCTAAAAATTAAATTTAATCATATATTTACTTATTTATATCAATAATTCAATTTGGACGAATTGATTAAATAAAATTGTATAGGGTCTTATCGTAATTAATTATTTTAGAATTTTAAATCAAAAATTTAAATTCATTTTATAATTTAGAGACGGTAATTATGTTTTATTAAACCGTTCATTCAATTAAAAGACAATTTATGGAGCTATTTAAAAATTAATTCATGGAGCAGATCGAGCTAAAATTATACTCTATAGGACGCGTTTTTGATAAATAGGTGAATAATGTATTTGTTCCTTTAAATTATTTATTAACAAAAAATAATATTTTAAAATATATTTTATTACTAATCATTATTTCTATATTTTAATAATTTGAATATATATTTTTATACAGAAAAATAAAATTTTAAATTTAAATCTTTAATACTATATTAACTATGACTTAGATTTATGAGAAATGAAGTGAAAGAAACGTTAGATAGTAAAGTGATTGTCTTTCTGTCTTGGATTGGATTATCTGTCTGATTGGATTATCCTTATTATTTTAGAATTTTTTGACTTTAGAGTAAGAGTAATAATTTTGTTTCGACTCGTTACGATGTATAATGTTGTTTCTTTTTGGTTAATTTCGTCTCTTAATGGTGATGGATTTAGAAAAATTGGTAAGAATCGATTTCGAGGTTGGATTTTAATGGAAATTTTTTGTGGAAATATAGCAGGTATTGCGATGTATAATATACAAGTGCAAATTAGAAATTAGAATTCTCAGGAAAGTTAAATTATTAGACTGAAGGCATTGGCAAGCTTGAAGAGAGGTCGATTAAAAGATTAAAGAAGGAAATAACTGTTTAATAATTCTAACGTTAATCTTGTAGAAAAGAAAAATGGATTTTATGAAATGATAATTTTAATTTCACGTAATATCGCCATAGAAAAATTAAGATTTGATAAGATTCAGAAAATTAATACGTATTTCAACTTTATATCAAACTTTATATTTATTGAGATTTACATCCACCAGTTTCATAATAATTCTATACACAAGTAATTAATCGAATTACAAGCAGTAATTATAAAAAAAAAACCGAAAATACAATCATCGACCTTACATAACAAATTATGCAACTTATCATTAATATGTAAGTACACTGATCTATCTCTCTGTTAATCTTAAATATTAAGTAAAACAAGGAAATTATTCCTTATAACACGATTCCAATCAATCGTTCGATGATCTTTCTTTCTTCATCACTGATAACAAAGAAAATCTCTTATAAAAGGAAAGAATAATCCTCTATTTAGTGAGTATCATCGTTTTCTCGTGCCTCTCGATCGCGATCTTCTTGATCCTCTCCCACAGCATAGGGTAGGGATGTATCGTTCTCATGAAGTCGGCACGATTCAACCGGTACAACTCGCATATCTCGACAGCCACCACGCTTGCCACCCTCAGCTCGTTGGGCATGATAAGCGCGACCTCGCCGAAGTGCGCCCCGTCGTCCAAATGGCACACCTCCTTGCCCGAATCCGTGTAAATACCCACCGTGCCCGAGGCTATGAAGTACATACAATCACCGGGCTGATTCACCCTGACTATCACGTCGTTGGTCAAGAATATCTCGAACTTCAACAAAGCCACGATTTGGCCGAGCAACGTCAACGGCAAATTGTTAAAGAACGTCACGTTCTCGACCAATTTCCGGCACGTGTGCATCCTTATCTCGTGACGCATCTGGGTCGAGATCGTGTTTATAATTTCGGATTCGCGAAAGAATCGATATTGGAAACGGAACTCGTAATATTGGATGATCCGTTTCTGGGTGGAGTACGGTAATTGCTTGTGGCTCATGAAGTGTTTCAATTGGGCCACGGTACCCTGGTACCTCAAACGAGAGCTGTTCTTACCCCTGAGGAAATTCAACACGGATGTGACTATGAACCAGGGGACGATCATGCCCAATATACGGGTCAATGTGATCAGATAAACCTCACCCGCGTTGTCCAGGTGTGTGTAAATCAGGCCGACCCTCATAAACGTGGTTATGGCGCGCATTAAACTGCTCAGATACTGTTCGCTCTTGGAGACTTCCCACAAGTTTGCCACCTCGATCCACGATGTGTTGGCGGGACGTTGCAGCTCGTACATCGATTTAGATATTAATGGTATCAACCATTGCAAACAGGTTTGCCAGTGGAAAAACAACAGCAACCAGAAGATTAACACGACGAACACTTTGACGGCTAGTGGTATATTGTAGAGGGAGGTTATCTTCTCGATGTAATTGGCGAGAGAGAAAACGCGGAAGATGCATAATAGGGATGTCCACTTGCGAGCTACTATTAGCTCTAACGCGCTTAAATAGAATAGATCGGTTGGAAAGGAACCGATGAAATCCATGATAAATGTGCCACGCTTTAGATAATTATCAACTATTTTCTTTGGATCCAACTCCGTGGAATGCATGTCTTTGTCGAAGTACCTGAAGGATAAATTTAAGATTTTCGATTGTGGGTGAGGATAATGAGTTAATTTTATTTAAACGATTTAACTTTTTACAGTGGATTAGGAATTTAAGAAAGAAAGAAAGAAATCTTATCTTATCTCGAGGATCCAAGATTTTTGGGATACTTAAGGATCGAGCATTGGTGGTCTTAAATGGATTAAAGGATTAAATGGAAGGATTAAAAAAAAAAAAAAATTGATTGATCGATTATTAAAATTTGCTGTAAAATCGTACATTTTTTAATTAAGATATTTACCCTGTTCTAAGATTCACTATTACGTCGCAGCATAAGATTAACAACATGATGTTCTTTATAATGGTCCAAGTCATTAACTTTTCCTTTATTCCAAAGGAAGCCTGATAGGGGATGATGATCAGTACAAGGGATATTACGACTATCATCGATATGTCCCAAATGTGCCTGTAATAACGATCCAAAGCATAATGCGCGTATCAGATAGACCGGATGCGCGAACAATTATTGAAAGCTTTCACGAGACGATGTATCCTTTGCATTCATATATACGTATGTATGTACATTTGTTTTTGTACATTTTATAAAAAAGAATTTGTATAACAATATATGATTATTAAATATGAAAGGAATATTATTTAGAATTAATATCTCGAAATCTTGTTGGCGATAATTAATTTCTACAAATTTTAAAAATTAATAAATGTCAGAAGACAAGAGGTACGATTTTTTCTAAATGGATGTTATCAAATGGCATGATGGCGATAACACTTATCTTGTCTTATATTGTCTTATAGTGTGTACCTGAATAAACTGAATGGATGAATGATATTCGGAAAACTTCGCCATTGACGACGTTTTTCTTGAGTTATGGCAGCACTGCTTCGCAAAAAATAAAAAGCGGCTGGATTCTTCCGCGAGGGTAACAATGAGAGATATAAAATGTCTCTCAATTTTTGAAATATACCTCTACCGGGAAGAAACAGTATGTCATTTTCTTCTTCAGCTATTTCACATTCGTGTTCCGCATGAAGCATCATGATGAAAGAAAGGAGATCCTTTGTAAAGATTAAGGATTAAAAGCGAATAAAGATAGCTGTTATATAATGAGATTATTTAAAAGGTTATTTTCAGCTTATTCTTTTGATTAATAGTACAATAAAGTGTACATAGACTTACAAAGAATACTCGTGTACAGAAAAATAATTTGAAGTATTTGTTTTTAAAAAAATAATTTAAAAAATAAATTTTAATAATATGAAATAATTCAAACTTGTACGTAGATAACAGATATCTTAACGATGTAAAAATATTACAATTCAATGTAAAAATGAAATGTCGAAATAGTTAAATGGTATTAGAGTGACATCTATTGTAGGAAACTTAATTATAATATCGAATATGTGAGAGATGATGGTAAAAAAGGAAACTAAGTATTTTCTTTTTTTATCAACTTTAGATATTAATAGAAATCATAAAACAGATTTGTTGTAAAATAATATTATAAATAACAAAATGTTGCATAATTAAAAGATATATTTTGGAAAGATATAAATTATTAGATTTTATCGCAAAAAAGTGATAATGCGTGAAAATCATATATAAAAAATATTATAAAGATAAAATATAAAAAATTAGCAAAATAGTTAAACATCTATAGAAATTGAAATACAAAAAAGAACGTATATTACATTATAAATTATCAAAATATAAATGATAAATTTTAATATATATAATTTCAATATAATATAGACATATGAAAATTGAAATCAACATTCGGACTATTTCAATCTCATCAATGTTTATTTTACATCTGTCACTCAGAGTTTCTTTAAATACAACAACATACCTTTCAATATCTAAAGCAAGAATTGTCAAACATAATTCTATTGATAATACTGGCAATTTCAAATCTTGATTTGTTTCATAAATTTCTTATAAATAATGGAATAGAAATATAAAGAAGAAAAAGCCTCAAATTTAGAAAGAGATAAAGATGTAAGAATTGATCATAAACGCCATCTCTGGAATATTAAAGATACTAAAGATTTTAAAAGCAGTAGTAAGCATTAAGAAAAGATAAGAATAAAGAATTTATCTCCACTTCTTTAAATAATCAAAACAGAAATGATGATGGATTTTCTCTGGATATATTTTTATAAATTTCTTTTTTTATATGTTGATATTTTATCTATTTTATGTATATATATATTTATGCTGTATATTATATATGTTTCATTTATAGTCTAAATAATTAAAATATTTTGCTTAGGAATTTCATTTATTGATAAATTAATTTTAATAAAATTTTTAAAAAGTAAATTAATTTATCTTTTGTAAAAAAATGTGCTAAAAATACTTATTATTTGCAGATAACATATTGACACAGCAACTTTCCATCTGTCCATAATAATGATAAAATAGTTTTTTTATACGAAAAACTATACCAACTACTACTAATGTCAGAATCTTAATTTATGATAATCGATAAAGTTAGAAATGACACAAAAATAATAATGGAAAGAGCAACAAGAATTTCATCGTTTTACAATTATTCGTCATTTTATTCTATGGGTAAAATTCTATCTATCACTTTTAATTCTAAATTTTCCCGCTAGATAATGCAGCTATACTATCTCTTGTTTGAACTATTATCCCTCTTATTATAAAGCAATATTATATTTATAATATTGTACTTTGTAATTGGGATTATTTAAATCATTTTATTGATAAATTACGTATAACATAAATTAAAAAAAATAGCGAGATTATTAATTTTGTATTCAATATATAATTAAAAAAAAATATTAAGATGAACAATATAATTATTTTAATAATACTTCTTGAAAAAGATACATATTGTGTTAAAAAAAATTCGATATAAATTTCAATAATAATAATGTACGAAAAATACAAGTTGACTTTCTAGGAATGTTCGAACATTCGTCTCGATAATGAATAAAGCGTAATTCTTCCTTTTTCCTGAAAGGAGTGGTTACTTTCGAAGTTTAGTCGCAGCTTTTGTAATTATTTATGGGTGAACGTTCATGAAGCGACCTGGATGGCATTGTTAACCCTCTATATAGTCATCATGAGCAACATGGTTTCGTGTTAGTTACGCGTTAAAGAATTCGTTCCACAGAGATCGTCGGCTTCGTAAAACGCAATCCTTTCCGGCGGACATTGGATGAAGATAATTCGTTCCTTTAAAGTGACACCGTGACCAGAGGTAATTGAAATGTTCGATCCACAAAGCTCGATTTCAAGATGGATAGACTTCTTCAGATATTAAATATTAGATCTTATTTTCTTATCGATTACAAGAAAATATTTTAAATAATATTAATGCGAATATACAATATATAGAAATAAAATAGATAATAATAGTTAGGTATATTATATTCTGAGCAACAAATTTGGAAATTTTAAAAATTTACGTAATTGAATAATGAAATAGACGAAGATATTGTTAAAATTCATACAAACTTTACCTTTCTATTAAAAAATATTTGAGAAATTCTATTCTAATCCAACTAATGAAAAATGTATAATATGAGATATTTAATTCATGAAATAATTAATTTAATAAGTAATGAAATGGAAGATATTTTAAAATTTCATAAAAGTTTCTCGATCTCTTCCTTTACGTTAAAAGCGTACGTAGAAAAATTCAATTATCCAACTGATCGAAAATATGATTACAAGATATTTCTATCGAAGAAGAAGAAGAAGAAGAAGAAGAAGAAGAAGAAGAAGAAGAGGTAAACACGTTCACAAAAATAATATATTGGACGATATGATATCCATTTTTCTCAAAGCGTGGACGACAGTTGGTGGATCACTTTGATCCCCGGTAACATCATCGCGGATCTATTACGACAAAAGGGCCGAGAAGTGGCCCAACTCCCGTTCAAGGGAGTACCAACGACGAAGATAAATAACAAGAAATGCAAACGACGTTGCTACACCGCTTGAATGAAGCTCCATTACGACGATTTTGGAGGGCCACCACTTTCGACGTGGACAAAAACGGGGGCGGAAAAGGGGCAAGGAACGAACGGAGTGACATTGTGCCGGTGAAAGTTGGGTGAAGTGACACTCGAGATAAATGTTCCATCGTCGTTATGGGCCAACTGTCCTCCTTCTCCTCCTCCTCCTCTCTCTCTCTCTCTCTCTCTCTCTCATTTCATCTTACTTCTCTCCTGGTCAATTTTTAACAAAATAGTAGTTTTACGCAAATTTTCCACGTGTCCACGAATAAATTCACCGCCGATTCACATCTCATTCCTTGAGAAATTTCTATGGAAGAACGTGGATGTTGGAGAATGAGAGAGGTTCGTTCAAAAGATTTGGAAGTTCTAACCTTTCTATTAACCCATAAATTTAAGTCATTCGTTACGTCACACGTTATATTGTTCTCGAAAATATTTCTCTTTAGGATACGAAAATTCTCTAGAAAGAATAATCTACTTTTCCCAAGCGCAACACAACATTTTCATTGACCGTGTTGTCAACCTATCCATTTCAACCCTACTCCCTTAACCGATTCTCGAGACTTTTGTTCTCGTAAAAAGCGTATACCTTTACTCAAATTTTCTAAGATTCTAAGAGTGTACAATGTATATATACTCTTCATCGTCTCGATACTCATTCGTTTCATTTGTCCAAGCCGTTTTATCATCTCGAATCGGCTGTATGAAAGAAGCTCAAGCACGGATACGCATGGATGTAATTATATACATTAATGGCGAATTCGCGGTGGAAGGATGGGTTTCTCGAAAGGGTCTTAACTCGCCGAGAAATCGGGGATCATTAGGCGAACTTAGGTCGGGCCAAGCCCGGGAAAAAGGGGCGACTGGGTTTCTCGCAACTGTCCGCTTGACCCAAATCTTTCGGAAAACCGAAAAACTGATGGGCCAGAAGAAATTCCACGCAGATGGCGCTGTTACGCCACGGTACATACATAAATTTTCCCTTTTCTTGCCCTTGGCCCTTTTGTTGGTCGCCAGCGACGACCAGCAACCAGTCCTTCTCTCTTCTTCTTCTTCTTCTTCTTCTTTCTCTTCTTCTTCATCTTGTTCCTCTTCTTTTTTTTTTTTTTTCTTCTCCATCCTTCGCCAGGAGGCAGAGCACGCTCGAATGCTTTAGACAAAGGGCGCGGGCTACGTTTCACGAAAAGGGAGGGAGGGAGGGGGAAGAAAGAAAGAAAAAAAAGAAAAAAAAGGAAACGGTGCACCTCCGGGGTAAACGGACACGGGACAGTGTCTCTAGGAAGAATGAAATTGCGGTAGCTGTCGTGTCCGTTCATCGTTTGAATGCTTATTTAAATGTTCGAGGCGGGCTAAATTTGCGTTATTAATTCCTCGTTTCGATGTTGCGTTTTGTGAAAATTATTTATTTATTTGAAAATTATTAAAATTAAAATTAAATTTAAAATTATTAAATTTTAAAATTATTTATTTGAAAATTATTTGGCAAATTGATCGGAACGAATGGATAAATGGATGTGATATTTTAATGGAGATTTATTTATATTTTAATGGAAAAAGTGATTTGGTAAATATCAGAGGTGTCTGTCTCTGATTATTTTCACGTGAGCCTCTCCAATTATTATTATATAATAGAATTTCAATTGTAATAAAATTGAATTGTAATCGTAAGAGGGAGATGCTAGTATCATTCCTCATCCATTTCTCAATTTGAATTAAATTTCGAATCGAACGAACATCGCGACATTGCAACGCGTATGATTTTATTCCAAGAAACTTTCCAACCGATAGCTCGTAACGTCTCTTTCAAAGTTTTACCGCTACCCTTTTCTTGGACCCGACGAAGCCACCTTGAATTTTTCACCGATTCGGACGGTAGCCACGGTCCATGATGACTTTATGGGGATCGTTTTTTTCTTTTCTTTTCTTTTCTTTCTTTTAACCCCAAAGCAAAGTCTTTACGATATTTTGACGAGACACCCGCCTGGGAATAAAAGAGAAAGATTGGAAAAAATGACGAGAAGTCGTCTCGAGGATCATTGTGATCT